TAATTTGCAGCATGATTTCTGAAGAAGGAATTACAGTCAAACCAGGTCAAGATTCCATTCATGAATTGATTATTTGAAAAGTAAACCCGTTTGTCGCTTCTGTAACTTGTAGCCAGTATCAAATTGCATTCAAATGATCGGTGAAGTTTTGACTGCAACTGTTTTAGTATACGATGAGATGGAAAATATTTCAATGGATGAAACTTCCATTTAGGCATTCTTCAAATTCAAGAAAACTGAGCCGGCAGAAATTTCATAACGAACTCGCGTGTGTATTCACTGCTCATTACGCAAGCAAAAATGCAGACTGAAACCAACAACAACTAACGGATGGCGGCATTTTGGCCAATCGGAACAGCGCAAATCATCCGTATTGTTTCCTATCCAATCAGAAAAAAAGTCCAGATTCTGGCTTTTTTACATGTGATCCGACAAAGAAATGTATCATGCCCTCCTACCGTGAGAGACATAAAGGGATAATAGGGAGAGGGCATGATCTCAGGCTAAAGCGGGGACTGCTTTTTCTCCCCTTCCCATCATTCATTCATGATTCATTCATTTTTGCCATTAACCACAAATACAACAACAGTATAGAGAAATTGATAATAAATTAAAGATAACATACACTTTTCTAAATAAAATATTTACAGGATCAAATGTTTAAAGTGGTAATGGCCTATATGAAAGTCGGGGCTCATAAACTTTAGTAAAATCCAAATAGTGGTTTAATTTTGACTCCACTACACAACATCAACAGACAAAACGTAAAGGCAAATAAATTTATTGTGGGACGGCTTGGCGAGAACCAACACTACAAAGAACTTATGTAAAAACAATAATAGGTGATTACTGGTGAATACCTAACGTACAACACTCGTAAACTAGCTTTTACAAAAAGAAAAAACTCGTGCTAAAAATGGTCGCTCTTGACCTGAATCCCCCAATAAAGCACGCAGGCTTAGTGCCAGTTAGGCTGGGGAAACTTATTAATAAAACTCTGACAACGGATAACCGGCACAGGGAACAGGGTAGGAGCACAGAGGCTAAGCGAAAAGAAAGAACTGCTACAACTGGTCGATCTTGACTTGAATCACCCAAATAAGCAGGCAGGCTTAGTGCCAGTTAGGCTGGGGAACTTAATAAAACTCTGATCAACGGATAACTGGGACCGGGAACACTTCCGGGCACAGAGGCTGAGTACCAGGAAAACTGGGAATTATCTTCATCAATGTACCCAACAAAGCTCAACAAGGCATGTAGCCCAATAACCAATAAGGCTGCCAGAAAACGCTAGGGCAGGACATTGAAGGTAAACAAATGGATAACGACCCTGGCTAGAGGTCTGTAACATTGCCTGCAATCTAACTGCGTCAAACGAGACTATTAAATGTCGCCTCGTAAAGAGCGGTTCCGGGACAGCTGACCTAAGCATACATAGAGACTAAATCTATCAAGTGAATGAGCAGGCGCAAAACTGAGATAACTGTACAAGTACATAAAATAAGAAACGGGAAAAAGGCTGAAAACTAGCAGAGCTGAGCTGCCGCTTACAAACTGAAGTCAATGCGGTCAGACGGAGGTCAGTAAAGACCTGCCCAAAAAAACCCCGAAGGGAAAAAATGCGAGCAGGAAATCTGGGTTGGAACCAAGGCTCAAGCTCAAATCCCTTTCTGCGGGACTTTACAATGTAATCGAGAATAGACTGCTCCTAAAAAACAAAACAAAACAAAAATCAAAAATAAAGAAAAAACCAAAGAGAGGTTGGTTCAGAAGCGTAGATGACGTACACGTGATATACGCAACCTTATATACCCCCGATATGGCTACCCATGGTGCACCCGGCCTAGTACCCAGGCCCTGTTGTACCTCGCGCCGTCAAAATATCTATTTCTGCCTTCTTCTCGGGCTCATTCGTTAGAAATAACATTTATCATTGCTGCGTTCTGATTGGTTGAGCTATTACTAGGCTATATGCTATCAGCTACTAGTAGCGAAAAGTGCCGGCTTTGAAAACCAAAACAATGGCGGCTAAATCGCGTTTTGCAGGCTAAACTTGTTTGTCTCGATATTTTTGATCAACTAGTTGGATTTTACTAAAACCATTATTCCTCTCGCCCTCACGGTCTCTGAGTCAATAGCACATTCAGCCTTCGGCCTCATGGGCTATTTACTCAGAGCCCATTCGGGCTCGAGGAATAAATCATTAAACAGGATTCCTTGAACTATTGGGTAAACCATGCAAGTTAGGGGTACTGAATGAAAAGTTGGATTAATTTTTTATAGTGCGACTACACGAACCGAGGCCACCCAGACAAAATTTTGAGACAAATTTTGAAATCAGCCAATCACAAGTCGAGATCTAAACAATGAAATTGCACATAATTGTACTCAGAGCCAGTTTAAAATACTTTGCAAACCATTTTTCTAAAGGATATAAAAAATAAGGGATCGTGACGTTTGCATATAATTCAAGCCGAAAAATGTTTTCAGTTTTGACAACGTCTGGGTTCGTTGGAATCACAGCCAGCAGTAACAAAATTTTGAGCAATCCAAACTAAAGGCGACGGCCGATCATTTCACGGCAAACGGCGCTCAGAGAGTGAATCGCAGTGTCTGCGATTTGACAGCGCTATCAACAAAGATGAGTGTAGCTAAATTTTGTAAAATATTTATGAAACGAAAATCTCCGACTCCTTTATTGCCCTTTTCACGGCTTCTTCTTCGTCCTCTTCCTTAGCCTCGTGCATGGGACTTGACTTGGGTCCCCTTTCACAACATCACTGTGTAAAAGACATGTTGCCGATGAAGATTTATCCATACCTGAGCGATCGCCGCGAAATAAACGAAACAGATGTAAAATATGTGGAAACGTGCAATTTGACAGCTCTGACTTGCTGAATGGAAATATATAAAGTATCACCAAGTCCACAGCGACAAACCAATGAGTGGTACCGGATCTACCAGTTGTAGACCTGGATCAGTCCAATAACAACTTGTAGAAAAATGTGGAACGGCAAACTGGTCCTTATGGCAAGGCGGTGAAGACGTAAACCAACTGCTCACTAAAACCTTTTTCATGTCATTCGATCTACAATTCCAATGATCAGCCGGGAGTTTTTAAAACAAGAAGGAATGTGATTGCCATGGGAAAGCGTAGGGAG